TGACCCCGACCGAGAGGAACTACGCCGCGGTAGAAAAAGAGGCCCTGGCCGTCAAGTGGGCAGTCCTAGAGCTGCGCTACTACCTCCTTGGCCGGAAGTTCACCCTGGTCACGGACCACGCACCCCTTCAGTGGATGGCCTGCGCCAAGGATACCAATGCCAGGGTGACCCGATGGTTCCTCGCGCTCCAGGACTTCCACTTCGAGGTACGCTAACTCGCCCTCTCATTTCTCCCACAGACAGCAGCGTGTGACCGACAAGCCCCACAGGAGCACTTCACGGACCCTCTGCACTGGGAAGACGGAAGAGAGCACTCACGGCACCGGAGCACATACCTTGACCTTTCTCCCGACCACCCACCTCACCAATAAATCCACCCTCCGGGGTATTGATTAAGATTTCCTTGTCGTGTGATTCTTCACCCCGTTACAATATATAAAAAATGTTTGGAAACTCAAAATACATGAAATTTTATATACGCATATTTACAGTGTCTATGTATGCAGATTGGAAAATGGATGGATACATTCATACTGAAATATATCCAAATGAATTGGAATCAAATTAAAAGTTAATCAAATTAAGAGCTTCTGAATCAAATAAAAATTCTGCATCAATACCCAGCCCTACTTGGTTTGAATGCACAAGATTGAGATTTTAAAGCTACAGCGGAGATGAAGAAGCTTCAGAAGACTTCAATTGCAGGGCATGAAACATATGGACTACTTTAATGATGCTTTGTGGGGCTTTTTTCATCATTTTTGCAGCTTGACAAGTGCAGTCTCCAATCATCCTGTTGTATTGGAAAAAAGCATCTGCTTTTGAGTTCCTCAAAAGAAAGAAAGTCACACAGGTTGGAAATGGCATGAGGGCAAGTACACGGTGACAGTATTTTCAATAGTTACAATAAAAGTGATTTAATTACACAAAACAATAAACTGTCATAATAAATGCTGACTGTCTCACCCAGACTATCGAAATGCTCTCTCAAGCTGGTAATGTCTAAATGAAAGTACCCAAACAGCACACAACGTGACAGCTGTAATTAAAGTAAATCTAACAAGCTAAATGATGGCTCAATGTCTATGTATGCATGTGTTTATTTGTCCGTTAGTGTGTGGGTATGTATGGCACTTGAGTGGGCTCCCAGGACCCGGTCTAAATCCTGCAGCAGCCCTGGATGAGTGGAGCAGCTGGCCAAGGGGTTTGTCACGGTGTGCTGGGCTTCAAACAAGCACAGCCATCTGGATCTCCTCCACCCTGAACTCTATCACACGCCTGCACAGGGGTGAGAACAAGGGTGTATTACTATCATAGAAACGAGAGTGCTTCCTCCATACTTAGAGAAGCCACATGAGGACGATTATGGGTATCCATCACCAGAGGTTTGTTTCTCTATTGAGAGTGTGTTATTTTCCATGGCAGATAACAGAAGAATACAGCTAAGTAGTCTTAAACGTCTCAGGCTATTTGATGAGAGCACAGCAGCAACCTTTTGTAGTGATTAAGAACGTAGATCCTTTTTTTTTCTTAAGAATGGCAGCCGAAAAATGTCCCAAACAAGAGGAGCTTGGCACATGTGATGGATGGTGTTAGAAGCACATAGCATCTCTGAAAAGATCATACATCCCCATGGGCTCGCCAACGGAACGGAACGTCGAGCCCACACAGACCACAAAGAGTGAGAATGCGTAAATTAGACATCTGAATGGTTGCAAAAGACCCGCGCTTGAACAACTGCCCACATGCGGGCTCACATGCATATGCATATGCATGCGGGGCGAGATGTTCAGTCAGTGACATTCAGAGATCCAGGCAGATTGTTTACGATTACGCTGAAAGGTTCTCTGCACCCCCAGCCTGCCTGTGTCTCCATCCTGAGTGGATGTGTAATTGATTTTTGCTAGGCTTGTCGCTGTTGTTTAAGAAGTGATAAATGTTGGATCAGGCGTCCTGCATTATACGCGCTCTGGAGAGTGTCAACTCCTCTATAACTCTTCTGTCTGTGTGAGGAAGCCTGAATGAACAGATTTAATGGCTTCTCTATTTTTGCCATAGTAAATTACACTCCAGCACATGAGAAGGATTGTCCCCTCTGCTGCTGATACTTTACTGCCGATAATAACTGAAACAATCCCTTAGGGAGAATGAATATTGGTCTGAAAGATGTGACTGACACCGCTTTTCAAAACAGATTAACGTGCGGTTAACATCAAGAGGATTTAGGGAATAAGAACTTGCCAATCAAACGCACATATTTTGACCTGAAATTGGCTCTCATAGTGGTAGTATCTTAACGTGATGCCCGATGTTGTTAGTTCTGCTTCGATGTATAGGGAAGATGTTATCTAAAGACACGGAGTGTAACGATGCCAACTATTTCATTTTCAAGCTTTAAAGGGATTACTCTGACAGAATGTATTCACCCTCATGTCATTCCAAACATGTACAATATTATTTTTTTCCCCCTGTGGAACACACCTAAGAAATATTTTTAGAGAGACTTTACACAGAAGCACAATAAAAGTAATTCATCGCCATAGGTGCCATATTTTATTTGAGATTTAAGATTATCAGATTTTACGGATAAAAGTTTGTTTTGCTCCAGACAACTTGTAGAATAGCACACAAGTCCTATGAACTAATTTCATAATATTGTTTTGTGCTTTTTTGTTCTTTGTAAGGAATGGCAGCTATTACGTAGTCATTACATAAGGGATAATGTATAGTGAGTCAATCATAACAGTAAAATAAAGGTGTTCTGGTCCCCAACATAAAGCAGAAAGGTTTATTTTGTTATAATGACCTGCTGGTTATTGCACTTATTACACAGCTTCAGTAACAAATAAATAAACATATGGACATCAAATATTGACTTGAGTTAAAGCTTAGTTTATTAGTAGAAACCACTGGGAGACAGAACACAAACACAGCTATGAAGGACATACACTACACAGATGGTAATATAGTATTGCCTTGGACAATGGTCATTGCAGAAATATTTTAACACTAAATGCCATAATTGACCAATCAAGTATTCCATTAATAAGAACTATAGAGAACATTAGTTCCCATTCCCTTTTTAGCGGCTTCCCAGAAGCATTTTTTCCAGTTGGAATTTTTTGTTAACGACTTATAAACCATAAACAGTACCAACAAGCTATGAGATAATTCACAACATTAAAAACCTTGATCTGAAGCAAAAGATTATTTGAAAATCGGACAAAAAGACTGACTGTACAAGACTGTACAGTATACTCAACAGCTTTAAGAACTACAATCCTGTGATGAATTGTGAATGACATAATTGAAATAAAAACTAGTAAATATGTACTACTAAATATGATGAGTATGTATGTATGTATGTATATATATATATATATATCATAAATACATTTCATTACACCAAATACACAAAATAATGTTCTTTTTAGCAGCATCATATGACCCCTTTAAAGGGTCAAACCTCACAATTTATTGCCCATTACAATAAGGCCATTAGTAGCTGTTCAACAATCACTGGCTTCTAACAATAATGGCTCTACTGTAGGCCTATACTTATACTGTTACTGTATGCTTCCAACACAAATATGTTATATAAGCACAGTACACACCTGTAAACACTGATTTTGAGAGTACATTTTCTAAATAAAACAACAAAATAATTTTTGTGAAAGACAGCTTATTTGGATGTTCAGCGGACCATCTAGAATTAAATTTAGCGAATTGACAAGTGCTTTGACTTCTTGACTAATTTCTGTCCAGCTGAGTGAAAAATTGACTTTGAAAATTGACAGATTGCATCTTTTGTCTTGTTCAATAGCATGCACTTGTTGACAAAAAGGTGACTATACACAGTATAGAAGGTAAATAGGTAAACTACATCTGACCTGTTGGAAACATGACAGAAAATAAATGGCTGTTCTCTCAAGTAATGTCAGAAAAAACTTTCACGTGTTCTGACAGTTACCACATTCTCCAAAACAAACACCACTGAATGCATACAAAAATAGTTATACACAACAGAAAAAGGGTTGTTTGGTTTACTGAAGAGCTAAGCTGCATGCTCGTCTCCCATATTAGCTGACATTTACATAGCATTATAGATTTTGGCAAGTGTGGGAAGTAGCTGTTTTCTGGGTGCAGAACTGGCGGTCTAATTAAGATAAAGTGCTCTTGATATTTAACAGAAAATCTTTCACACATTATAGTTATGGCTAACATCTACTTCACTATTACACACAATATTTCCAAGTCCGGTGGACTAACGGAGAAGAGTTCATTGAACAATGGCATTATAAGATCATTTGCTCAGGTTGTCTATGTTAAAACTATGTTGATGGCGCAGTGGAAGGTCATCACAGTTTTGCTAATGCTACCCACAATTCCATCTTACTGCATGCAGGTTATTTTCCTTCACTTGTATTTAAATGTACCAATAGCTTTCCTGTATTTAAAGGAACATCTCCCTGAGGGGTAAGATGATGTAGATTTTGTGTGACAGGGGCTGCTCAGCACTGCTTTTTTCTACTGAACACATCTGACTGTGAATCACGCAGAGCGATGTTTAGAGGTAAACGGGGAATTCGCACAAACATTTTCATTTCGGAAACAAATGATTATAATTTACCTATTTTAGTATGCAAAATGCAAATGGGGTATCAAAGACTCTTAAAGGGAGTAAATCCCTTGGAATCTGCTCTGCATAATGACAGTTATTTCTTTTTCCGTCGTTAATGGCAACGGCAGAGTAGCGTGTGATGTTTGAATATGCAAGGGAGCCACGATCAGAGATTATTTTGCGTATTTCTCTGCCGAGAGGCTTATCAACCGACAGAAACAGGGAGTCAAATAAGGCAGCGAGTGTGAGGCGTATGTACGTGGATGTGTGTGCGAGAGCCTGCAACAGGAATACAAATGAGACACAGCCTTGTTTAAATCTATACCGGTTAACGGTTCTCGCGTTCTGGCTTCCTGAAAGCTGAGCAGTCAGCAAACAGCTCAGTGCTAAAAACAACAACAATAAAATGCATCTCTTTCAACTGTAACATGAAGTGAGAGTTAATTACATATTCAAATCCTTCACATCTATCATCTTCATTGGATTCTAGCTGTATTTTGTTTGTTAAACAATCATTAGCTTAATTACGTGCAGATGCAGAGTAACCACTGTTTTATTGGGCTTGTTAGTTTAGTTCAGAGATTACAAACACAGCGTGTGGGTAATATGATACAAAAGACAGAAGCATGAAGATCCCTCAGTGTACGGAGGAGTAAAGAAACCTATTTGCTCTGATGTTTATGTCTGCGCTATTTTACTGAAGTATTTTCTCAAATTCCAGTTACATCAAAAGCTACATCACAGTTTAACGAGAGTGGTACTGCCATTTAAATGTCAGTATCTCTCACTATATAGTAGTTTTCTTCATCAAAAATGTTTTTGATTTTAATACTAAAAAGAAACACAACATACTGTTCTATTTTCCATTTATGAATACGCTGTAAGAAAAAATCTGCAGAACAAAGGAAAAGGTACTGTTACTTTTCTGCCAGGACATTATATGTTAAGTTTACAGAAGTTAGGTATATTTCCTTTAACTCTAAAACACAACACGTAATTCAAAATACACTAGCAAATATGGTAAATTCCTTCATATTAACAGTATTTTTGGGTCCTATTTTTACAGACTTTTACAGACAGAGAGAGAGAGAGAGAGAGAGAGAGTGTGTGTGTGTGTGTGCCTTCTATGATGGTAATTATTGTAATCTTCAGTGTTACATGATCCTTGAGAAATCATTGTAATATGCTGATTTGGTGCTGGTGTGTGTGTGTGTGTGTGTGTGTGTGTGTGTGTGTTTTTATATAAACACACACACACCAGCACGAAATCAGCATATTACAATGATTTCTCAAGGATCATGTAACACTGAAGACTACAATAATTACCATCATAAGGGTAAATTACATTTTTTAAATACATTAAAATAGAAAACTTTTAAACTGTAATAATAATTTTGTGTTATTTTACGGTGTACTTGTTACGTTACACATTTAAGTTCTGAGTAATATTAATTAACTACATACTATATGGTTAGGGTTAGGATGGGGGTTTGGTTTAGGGTTAGTTGCATGTAATTATGTATAATTTATTGTTATGTTAATACATGCATGTGTACATGCATTACCTAATTTTAAAATAATTTGAAATAATCATTTTAAATTGTAATATTATTTCCCAATATTTTACAGCCTTAGTGAGCATAAGAGACTTTTTTCAAAAATATCATAAAATATTACCGACCCAAAATCACAGATGTTTCTTTTAATTTTTGGTTAATATATTTGAAAGTCAATGTCTGTGTACCTTAAAGTTTTGGCTACAAAAAAAAGCAGTTTCAGAATATTTCCTCCGCTACTGTCCGGTTAAAAAAATTAAATAAATACAAATAAGACATATGTTGACCTTTTGTAACAAAATGCATCACTAGTGGGGCACAATATATGCAGTAAGTTGTTACAAAGGCAACTTGCCATTTAACAGCCCATTATAGGCTTTTCAGTAAAACATAAAAAAAAAAAGTATGAGAACCTTCTCAATTTAAATGTGAAAGAACAGTGCATAAGAAAATTTTTACATTTTGACATCTAAAAGAACCCCAAACTGCAGTAATGGCTCTCTTTCTTAATTCAACCCCATGTTGCTCACATCCACTCTGCCTGTCCGTTCCTTCTTTATGCCCTTAATCTCCAGTGTGCTGTGTGTTCGATAAGGAGAAGTGGCTTGGTGTGAAGAGACTGGCTCTGCTAAAAGGGAGAGGTTAATAAAGGGGCCATGCCTCCCCATCCATTCAGTGTCAAAGGCCCTCATCTGTGAGGAATGTCCAGCTAAGATGTTTTAGCTGAGAAAGCAACAGAGGGAGAGAGAGAGTGGGTTAAGAGAGAGGAAGAGATAAGAAATTTGGCCATCTTACCATTAACAAAATGAAAGTTTCCTAACACACCTCCTTCAGAGTCAAGATGTCCACATTGATCACAGTTTATTAGTTCAACAGTTTAATATACAATCTACATAATCTTCAAAGCTGCATATCACCCCCCCCCCAAAAAAAAACGACTGAAGAGGGAGGAAAAGTGTGCTATATGTGGTTCACTGCCTTTCAGAATCAGGACAAAGTGGCTAACAAATTAATCCAATGGAGTTGAGTGCAATATAAAATGTTCCTACATATTCAATGCAGTTTAAAGTGAATGAAGATAAATGAGCACATTTAACTTCTCATGTCTAGAGGTGCCTTTTGATTTATCATAGGATTTGACTGCAATTTAGATGTGACTGCGGATCAGCCAATCAGACAGGATTAGAATGAATCAACATGAAAAAAGACAAGCAGCACAATTTTTACATGCCTGCATCCACATATATGCACACAGCAATAAGTCAGCGCATCAGTTAGAAGCACACCTTGCCGCAGGTCGGAAGCCCAGAGGTCTTTATTATAGAGTGTGCTCATCATTACCATAACAACTGTATTACTAGAATAATCCTCTCCAGGCACAGACACGAACAGCTTTTCATAATCCCACTAGGCTTGACGTATCTACTAGTGCTACTCCAAACTCCAAGTTTTCCCTCTCTTAATGAACCTGCCTGTTATTGAGCGAAAAATAATAATAATAATAATAATAATTTACAATACATTTTTCCCCTTTAATTCTCCAGAAGTGTTTAACTTTTTTGTTTTATGTTCCAGAAGGCATGCTGAAGTACTTTAACACACAGTATGAGTATCACGACGCCGTACCAGACCAGTAAACAAACCCAATACAGTGAACCAGGGTTATTTTAGTTAAACTAAAACTATAAAAAATTATTCAAATAAAATAAAATAAGCCTTACAGTGACAGTCCTCCTCATTTGTTCATCATCAAAGAAGATATTTTGAAGAATGTTGGTAATCAAAACAGGTGTCGGTCCCCATTGACTTCCACAATATAGAAATAAAATACTACAGAAGTCCAAGGAGTCTGCTTTGGTTACCAAAATTTTTCAAAATATCTTATTTTACATTCCACAGAAGAAAGGTTTAGGAACTATCGCTTTAACTTAAAAAAAAAAAAAGTTAACACTTTAGATTAGGGAACACATTAACTATTAAGAGTTTTCCTTTAATAAACTCCATATCACTGCTTATAGATAGTAAGTAAGTTAGTTGTTGTAGTAACTATGTTTAGGAATGGGGTAGGATAGCCTGTGTGTCCAACAAAGCGTTTTTTCCCCCCTAAGGCTAGAGCATTTTTTCAATGAGCATTTATTTCATACTGAGTGCTGCACACTTGGTGTTTTTTTTCTCGGCACCAAGAGTTGAAGAATGTTCAAGCACTCATCACTTTTTAGTCAGCTAACCAATCACAGTGGAGGAGGGGCGGGACAAATTCCACCCCGACCAACCAGCACATCCTGCTTGTACAACAGCAACAGACAACAACAAGAAGCACAACAACGGAACAAAATCTTTGAAAAAAATGGCCAGAGCAAGTATTTTATATTGTTGACATTTTTATATTCAGAAATAAACTATCTGTGAAATCAGATACTAGTAACACTTCTGCAGATATTCTGTATCATAGCAGCCAAAGCAAAAAAAAAAAAAGGCCTGTGCCGCAGAGGCACTCTTAAGTGCTCACAGCTAGGCGTTTTCAGCAGCCTGGCGTTTTCAGCAGGGCAAACATGCTTTGGTGGACACACGGCCTAAGTGGTCTAGTATATGGTCATGCAGAATAAGGCATCAATATGTGCTTTATAAGTACTAATAAACAGCCAATATGCTAGAAATATCCATGCTAGTTAATAGTGAATAGTGTTCCCTAATCTAAAGTGTTACCAAAACTTTAACTAAAATTAAAGTGAAAACAGAAAATATAAAAATAAAAACTAATTCAAAATATCTACAAAAACTACAACAGATCTCAATCATTTTAAAATAACACTGTTGCAAACTGCCTGCAGACATATCCAGAGCTCTTCTCTAAATGACCGACATTTTTTAATAAACACTTGTTATACTGTATACGTCTGTCTTAATTAACCATAAAAACAGCCTTGGAATCGCTTCCAATGAATGGCAGGCGGCGAACGGGCTCGTGGGGGAGATCAACAAATGAGAATCTAATGAAAGTGTGAGCTGCCTGCCATTCTTCAGCCTGGGGACAAAAGCACAAAAGCCCCGAATGCAGCAGGAGTTAGAATGCAACAGTGCAGAGTATTTACTTCAAAAAGCTTAATTAGGTCCAAACTCAGTCAGCCACCACGGTAGAGCTGCTACCAAGGGAATGGAGCCTACGCCTGTGCGATT